ATTAGGAGACATATATATATATATAGATATACACATGAATATACAATCAATATATATATATATGTGTGTTATTTATTTGTTTGTTTATCTACATTTATTTATATAGCTGGATGCATGCATACAAACAACACACTACACCACAGAGTAAAGGGTGTGGACAGATTGTGATTTACACTCTGACAACTCGGACGATCCATTTAGGGGTTTCGGAATGGAATGGAATGGAAACGGCTTGCGGCCAGCAGCAATAGCTGCAGCCGCCCACGCTCTCCCCCCCCCCCCCAGTTCCGTCATGGCCGCCCTCCGTGAAGGGTTCGAAAGGCGGTTAGGGCATGATGCAGACCAAGTTGCCGGGAGGGAAGTAGAGGAGGGAGAGGGAGAGGGAGAATAGCGCACAGAGGCGCGGCCCGAAATTTTGCTTACATGCCAGAAATCATGCATATCGCAAGCGCACCTGGGCATTGATTTGGGTGTACTATGATGTACCATCATGCACAGACACTATCTACACATTGCGTTGGCTCACGCTGCAATCCGGCTTGCCACTGCAACAAGCTGGAGCTCCGGCTGGCCAGAAGAAAAAATAGCCTTGACACTCGACAGCACTGTCTCCAATGAATGCTGGTACACATTTCATGCATCTGCTGCTCGCTCACCAGCTCTCGTCTTCAGTACTAACCGTTACTAACCCCTCATACCGATCAAGAAGCTCGTGAAGAGGAGTTCGCACGCCACCTGACAGCTGCATGCAAACAAGGCGGCATGTCACGGTGTCGGGGCAGCGCCTGCAGCACGTTGCCGGGAAAAGATCTTTGTCGCTCAAAGCGCACCTGCATCAGGACGAATCCCGTGGCGCACACATCGCGTCTCAGTGTCGCTACCCTCGCTCCGCTTCGTCTAGATAATGCCCTCTGTGGTTCTTTGTCGCCTCCACGCTGCCTGCTGCAGCCGGTGGGGGCAAAGGCCTGGCAACTGGTCGAAGGATGACTCCAGCGCTGACCCTGCAACGCTTTGGCCAAGTCAAGCGGCTTGGGCGCTGAGGCAACTGGCCACATGGAGCATATTGGCCATCTGAAGCTACGAGAATGGCAGCGGCCACCTTCAGGCTGGCCTATGCTGGCCTCACAAGCGAGTTGCTCGTTACGTCTTGCACTCCTTTGCCACCGCAAAAGCATGGCAAGTCCAAGTCTCTCGGACGAGGCTCCAGTCTTGGACGGAACCGGACAGAGCCTCCAGAGGCCCTAGTGCTGCTAAACATATTGCACGATCAGGGCAGGCTCAGAATACATCACACATTCAAGGTAAATGCCAAACAGCTCCGAGCTGAAAATCAGAACCACTGCGAAGCTTCTTCAAGCATGCGATCCCCGAGCGAGGCAGCATCTGTACATGTGTTATGCGGGCTTCTGCTCAAATTCATAGCTGCAGGAAATGACACCGTACGGCCACATCTTTGACCAGTCTTCTGATCGAGGTCTAGCTTTCAAGTGATCCATCACTGCATCAATTTCAGCTGGTACCAACATGTTTTCATTCAGTTGGCCAAGCTTGAGTGGCTGCCCACGAAAAGGCCCACCCTCGAACATCTTCGCGCCAGCTCGTGCGCAATCTGTCAGCGGATCAGCTGTGCGGAGGTCCCTGAACTTTCCGAGCTCGTGGGCTGCTGCCACTTGTCTGGATTGCGAGGCTGTAACACTGGGGTCCGAAATTTCAGAGGCCTTCAGCACATCCTTGGAAGAAGAGCTGGGGTCTTGCTGTGAGTTCTCATGTAGCTCGACTGGGCCTACAGTTGGCCCAAAGACTTTTCGTAAATCCTGGAGATCTTGTACAGTGAGGCTGGCGGATCGAAACTCGAGGAAGGACAGCATGCCGGTCGCTTCGTGTCCCAGTCGATGAACGCCTGCAGTCGCATCGCAGGGAATCCAGCCAATTCCATCAGCGAAGAATTCGCACTGAACATGTGGAGCCACCACTGACCCACATGCATCGAACACAGCCTGCCCATACTTGAAGCCAAGTGATATGCGTGCTGGGATCTGGTGCGCTCGCAATGCAAATACGAAGCCCACATTGAAGGAGGAACAATCGCCTCGCTTTGCCTTCCAAATGGAGGTTGGCAGGCTGTTGAGATCCGTCTCCGCCAATGCCACGTCATACTTGTATCCGTGACGGAGATGTCGTCCAAGTCGAACGGCGTACGCTATGTCACGCTCCCCACCTAAACGCCCCAATCCCTGACTTGAGAGCAGTGAGCGAAGCTCTCTCCCGTCACAGGCCAGGCTGGATGCTCTTTCCTCGGGTGTAAGGACGGGTACAGGGATCACGGCATCGAGCCCATCCCGGGCCCGGGCCACCGTGTCTTCCTGCTGAACCCGGACTTGCTGGTTGACAAAGTCATGCTCCACCGCAAGATGCGAAAGCTGGTCTCCCGGCAAGTTGAGCAGCACAAAACTCTGAAAGTCAGTCGTCGCACTATCGGTCAGACCGCGTACAGACACGCGATGCGAGGCATATCTGGCATGACCCTCCTTTACGGTCCGGAGTTTCGGGATCAGAACTATGTATCTACTACTAAGCTCATTGCCAACCAGGCTGAAACGAACACGAAAAAAGTGGCGCGAAGCCGACATGACCTTGAGCATGAGCGGTGCGTTCTGCCAATCGAAGTCGCCTTCGTTTCGTTTGAGTTCTGGACAACAGTCTTTTGGGTCGGGTGCTTCAGACCTACACAACCCATCGGGTTGGCACATCTCTGCCCAGAGCTCTTTGGGAATGGTTGCTGGCTCTATGGGGCCGACATCAAAACCACCGATCCCTTCAAGCACAGGATCTGGTCCAGAGCTCAGCTGAAGGTTTCGCAGGCAGACCCGGAAAACCTCCCCTGCCGAGGACTTCATGAGATACAGATCCACTGACTTCCCCTCGGCGGATGGGAGGGCGCGAGCGCCGGCTATCTCGCCAGCCCTGTCCAGAAGCTTCTTGAACGTTTGCCGGTGACTCGCAACTTGGCAAATCAATCCTCCATCCATACATGTGGCATCTTCAGTGCGCATGGCCATGTACTGCATAACTTTGAAAGCTATGCGGGCGATCAGCGGACCGCTAGCCACCCCAGGAGGAAGTGTGAAGGCGCCTCTGCCCGTAGCAGTCCTCCAAAGAGGCTTTGGTGGAGACTCAGGCAGACCAGACACGTTGCGCACAATGACATGCCTCAGCTTCGCATCTGTTGGATCAGTCCGATTGAAGCCGAAATCTCTGCAATGACATATCATCATACATTCAATTCAGCACACAGGAGGGAAATCTAAAGTTTGCCTTTCTAACTTCTCAGTTGCCGGAGATCGCTCACAGACTTCTCAAAGTTGCCACGGCTTCCAGAAATCATTTTGTTTATCTGCTGAACGACCTCGCTGGCGGATAAATGTGAAGGTGTCGAGGCCAGCATCGTTGCGACGAAGGCGTCCCTTCCCACTAGATCAGCGGCACCTGGACCCACAAGTTGCGATTCTGAGGCTTTGAACGTTGACGCCACTAGCTTTCTTGCAGTGGCAAATTCTGACGAACGCAACAGGCCATCACCATCCTCGTCGAAGGCCACGAACAACCCAGCCAGGGCATCCCTGACATCTTTGTCTGCGGGCGAAGCAGTGCAGTGCCCGATTGGAGACTCTTCATGTTGAGCTAAACTCAGTATGCCGGCTTGGCCAGTGATGCGTCTGGATGCGGCGGATTTGCTCGCCGACGTTGCCGAAGCAGAGGCGGCAGTCTGAGTTGCAAGTTCTCTCTCCTTCTCTGCATCTCGCGGCACACTTGATCGTCCTCCGCATGTGAACGGTGAGACTGACAACGACAAGGCACATGCTGGGCAAACTCGAGTGGTCCTGCAGCTCCTGTCAGTCCAAGAATACTTTTTCCGGTAGAAGATAAGGGACGCCTGTCACCTGGCAATTCACGCAGGGTTTGCGAGCTGGCATAGACCCATTCCATTGCGTCAAGCTCTGCAACCACAGCCCCTGGCTCATGTTGGCACGACTGAACCGCTGCACTACAGCTAAGCAAACACTGCCTGCATCCAGAATCTTGGCCGGCATGATTTGCCTGCATGCCGTTTGGCCGTGGCTCGAATTTGCTAGCCGCTACTAGCTACCAGAGTTAGGTCGGCCATCGGACTATCGAATCCCGCAGCTGATTCCGGCCTCGTTTCGTGCATTCGGACATCCTGAGCTACGACTGGTCCTACTGAATGGCCGCAGCAAGCAGAAACGAGCTTGGAAAGTCAAACTTTGCAATGCCCAGTTGAAGAGAATCGGTTTTTTTGCAACACTGCGACGCGATCAGCACAAACACTCATTGACCAGAAGTGCTTACCATGACAGACGCGGAAGGAGGTTACTTGCCGCGAAGGGTCCAGGAGGGTCAAGTCTAGGCCCCAGGGGGCACCCAGGCACAGTGTCACGAAAGGTCACGTGAGAAGCACAGACATATGCCATCTTGGCAGGTTCTCATGAAACCGTCCCACATGGACTCATAGAGCAGAGTCACAGCTTGATTGACAGCTGGAGGAGCTTGAGCATACTCATGCGTGGTTAATGGTGCCAGGCTGAGCACGAGCTGATCTGTGCTAGAAATCCACGGTATGTCGGCACTCTCACGGTCTCCATCTGCGACATGCACTATGACTTCCGAAGTCTGGTGATCTGCTTCGGCTGGCTGGCAGTAGGCTGTGTTTCAGCATCATCTGTCACAAGACCGACTCCTGTCAATCATGCGGCTCACACAGAAATCAGTTGACCAAATGCGTTAAGCCGGGATGACGTACTCGGGGTAGCTGATAGGACTGTCTCGCCAGCTCCAGAGTCTGAACAACGTCGCCGACTTGGAGGTTGGATGAATCGGCGCCGCTCGGTGAAGGGCTTGGAGCACCACTACTGTTCGTTGTTCGCATGGCGAATGGGGTAGCTTCGGTCACTCTGGAGCTGCTTGCGAGCCTCTGGATCTGCTTGAACGGGCATCGTGCTTGACTTTGCCTGCTACGAGACGCAGAGGATGTCCAATAAGCAGCAGAACACTGGCCCTCTGCGGAACTGGCAAAACCCACCACAGCGTCACATGGCGGCCAAGGCTCATTCTAGAGAGCTTCCCTGCGAGCCATGCGGATGCAGGGACCGTCAAACTTATGCCGATCACACCCGGGCCTTGCCTCTTACTTCAAAGTCATGTACCACAAGTTGCAGAAGGTACACTTTGCTGTGGCGTTGCAACCGAGCTAGGATTCTACAGTTGATGCACGAATTATGGCATTGCCGGCTCGGCTGCTGGTAAAGTGACTCAGGATCACTGCAAGCAGTCGCCACAGCTCAGCTTGCGATGCCCATGGATATCGTACGAAGCATTATAGCTTTCGAATTGTAATGCAAGCTAAACAACTACATCGGCTCGGGGTCACATATCTCCATCAGCGCACGGCATGATGCCACGTCTGATGAGCAGTAGCTGGGCGATGGCGGAAGCCACATCCGCTGCTTCTACGAATCCAACCCAGGAAGGTCTCACGCTCATACACAGGCTGCAGCGGGACCGAATGCAGCACTGAATGCAAAGAAGGTGCAGGAGACACTGGGTATATTGGGGATGGCTGCCACCCAGGCGACATCATAGGCCCATGGCTGCACAAATTAGGATGTGCAGGGCTGTCCCACTGCCATCCGTGCCGAGCTGGAGGCACACCGCTGCCGTCCAATCTGGGGCTCGCAGTGACATTCGACGTCCCGTAATATTTTGAGCGTCTTATGGCAGCGGCCTGTGCAATCTCACGTTGCTGAGCATCGAGCGCAGCCTTCTCCAAAGCCGACTGAATGTAGCCAGTGACGCAGTTTGCGGTGGTGCGGCCTGCAGCCTTCAATCCTCCAAAAACAGGCTTGGCCAAGGCGATGACAAGTCGCGAGGCCAACAGTCCCGCTTTGGCCGCAGCCTTTGCTGCCACGAAGCCTGTACCAGCCATGAACTCGGCAGTGCCGAACACCTCCCTTGCTGTGGCCGCCAGGACGTCCTGCCATTCACAACAAACCCGTTGCTGGGACCAGCTCTGCTGTCAAGGGCATTCAGAATATTGAGTCGCGAAGCCCCGCAACCTTTGTATAAACATCCTTCGTTTTTGTATGGCTGCAGCCTGAAGTAAACAGAATTTGACCTCCCTCAAAGAGCAGGGTGCCTAATCTACCCTGTCGATTGAGACTGCTTTTCGGAGTAGTTTCAACTCTATGAGCTCCTTGAACATGGAGCCATCCGTGCGCGTGCTTGGCTTCCAAGGGCTGAAGATGTGCAAAAGTTCTGTCGGTCATGTTTCACATGGGATCTGCCTATGTTTTTGAGGTCTAGGACTTTAGGGATGCTTTTTTACCATACTACATCCGCTGATGTGTTCACTTCGTGTTGTTTTAGGGTGTAAGATACATGGTTTGTGAGGAACATGTATTTACCCCGAATATGAGGGTGTCAAGAAGTAGTAGGGCAAAGCATGCTGTCCTTTGCTGTGGGTTGCGGCATGGAGCTCGCCATGGAGCTGGCGAATCCCTGTGATGGCTTCTGTCTCGCTCCTGTGCAAAGTGTCCTCTCCACCTCTTCCAGACGCTGGCTTTTGTGCTGCAGTGCCTGCTGCCATCTTTCCAATTCCATCCTCTTTTCTGCCAAGCGTTGAGCGAATTCCAGCCGGCTTCCTGGAAGTGCCTGGAGGGAATCGATGTCCCAGTCCTCGATCTCTTGTATCTCGGCTGCTCGCGCTGCCCGAGCTTCGGCTAGGGCTGCACTTTCTGCAGCCTGTGAAACCCGAAGCTGTGCCTCCAGAGCTTCACACCGTGCCTCCTTCAGACTGATCATGGCATCCGGCTGCAGGTTGTCGCCTTTTGCGAAATCGGTCTGACACGAGACTGACTCCCTGGACTTGGTACGGCATGCCGGGGTGGCCGTTTCGAGGGGCTGGCACGCACGGAAGGCTTCCTGGATTCTACCTTGCAGGTCATGACCAGCACGTGGTCTTCCCAAGGTGAATGTCTCAGACATCGGCTGCGACTTCATTGCAGAATGGCTGGGGACCGGCTCGCCCACGGCACCCTCAACATGTTCTGGAAACTCTGAAACATGCCGATGACCATTGAAGTCCTCCTCAATACACCTGCATGAGCATGTGTTCTATCACTTCGCGCACACATGCCTGCACTACCCGAAAGAGAACAAAGAGGTGCCGCTGTTCGATCCAAGATGCAGCGATGTCGCCTTTGGCTTCTCAAGAAGCGCGGCAAGGTTCCCCGTCTCCTTTGGTGGCAGATCCTCGGGTTCATGCGGCTCCACTTCCACAGACCTTGGGCACAAGAACCATTTCTGCAATGTCTTGGAGTCGCGACACTCTGCGCAAGGGGATTCCAAATAGTAGCCCAGTCGAACTCCACACCGACACTGGAAATCTTGAACTTTGCAGTCGCAGCTTTCCTGGGACTTGCACGAGCTTCCCGTCAGAATCACCCCATGTGGAGGCTGACTTGTGGAAAAAGCAAAAGAGGACGGGCTCGCCATCATTTGCATCATCTCGCCATGCTCAGACAGCAGGTAGTGGCAACTGCTGCAAAATATGTTGAACACTGCACTAGGATGGCCTCAGCGGTTCCGACAGGAAAAGGTGAAACATGGGTGGCCACAAGAGAAGAAAGACCCTTAGAGCCAAGCGACTGGTTTCAGGCTCCTCCCAGCTTTGAGAGCGGAACGCCCGCTCCTGACGATGCTGGTTGGCATCTGGAGGCGAGATGACCGCAGGAGTGAGCCGCCATGCTCGGCTTGCACGCCTGTCTTTTGCCTGTGCCTGCATTGCCTGGCACGCAGAAACCAAGGCCACAACAGGGGGGATATTGGAGCCCACTGCGTAGGCGGACATACAAGCGTGCCAGTGACTGCCAGTGCTTTCCGGGAATGCCAACATTGACTGCACTTCTGACTGTTCGTTGCAGCAAGCCTTTTCCCAAGACTCTGCATCAGCACAGTTGGGTAGCTATAACTCTCCTGAAGAGAGCCGGACGGTCTAATTATCTGAGCATTAAAACAGCTACCTGCAAGCCTGCGTGACTGCGAAACAGCTACATGCTCTGGTCATCTAAACATTTGTTGCAACTGTGAAACGGCAACTGGGCACAGTAGGCCTCCAGCGTTCGCTGGAGGCTTGAGGCTCAGTTCCGGATGGCGCGTGATGCGTGAGGCAGCGTCCCAGGCTTAAGCGTCGTCTCTGGTTTTTGCTCGAGTACTTCACCGGGAAGTGCCCAACCTTCCTTCTGCCTCGATGTTGTGCTTGCTTCTACTGCTGAGTCTTCATCTGAGTATTAGCAGCTCTTATCGATGGCCGACAACTCTGAGAGAGCAGCTCTTCTATGCTCATGGGGACGCGCTCGTACGGGTAGTTCAGCAGCGGTGTGAGCCTGGAATAGGTCAGCTCAGAATTCGACGACATGCTGCCGTCTGCTATTTCTGAATTCGTCCCCAAGTCGTCCACAGTGGCTGCACCCTCGTCGAAACCTGCCACAACAAGGTCATTCCCTTTCTCTGGAAAAAGCAGAAGCCACATCCCAGCCTTTTCACCAACCTTTTGAACTTTGTTTTTGGTGGTGACGGTGGCATTTGAAGGTATCTCGGCGTGCCAGAGCAAGTTACTCTTACAGGAAATTCCAACAGGCCAAGCAAGAGTGCTGCAAAGATTAAGTGCGGCACACATCGGTAGGTCAGAATCATGAATTGTCGCAACTGTCGGCAGGTGTGTAAATGCGCTGTACAGTGTTGCAAGGTCGGAACACGGTCATCATAAAATCCAGTGCCAAGGCCTCGAACAACGTTCTTGATAGCTCAACCTGCGCCTGAAATGCATCGAGATCAGTCCGACGGTGTTTCGTCGCTGTTGCCCAGCCTCCCTCGATTCTTTCTTCAGCTCCTGCAGCTGAAACCAGGCTCTGACCATGCTCCTACTCCGACTCCCACTCCTGCTCCCACTCCCGCTCCAGTCCCCATCCCCGCCACCCTCCCCAAGCCAAGCCAAGCCGAGCCAAAAAAAAATACATGTATAAGAAAGAATCAGCCATCATATTAACATCCAAGGCAACTTTGCAGGAGCCAGGAAAGATCCTAAGAAACAGTATACGGTATGCATGTTGCCTCGTTAAGCCTCGAAGCAAAAAAACCCAAGAAGTAGTATAGTCTTCCGCCGGTGTTGTTCCAGTCGTCAGAAAACAGAATAGAGCTCCTGACATCCGTTGGCGCTATTCCAGTCGTGAGGAAGCAGAATAGAGCTTCTGACATCCTGTTCCACTCTTTACAAAACATGGTGGAGCTTGTGACATCCGTTGGTGCTATACCACCCGTACAACACCCCTGAAACCCCAAATTTATGCAATAGACACAGGCGACAGCGGCTTTCGCCCCCTACTACTACTACTGCTGCTGCTGCTGCTGCTGCTGCTGCTGCTGCCACCACCGCCACCACCACCACCACCACCAATTCCAATTGCTATTATTCCTACTTCTGATTCTCCTCCTGCGAGGACTTGTAATGAAACTAGGACTCCGACCACTGCAGAAAACAGTTGCAGCAACGACGACTTCAGCAACAAGTCCGAAACGATGCTGTTGCCGAAGCCCTGGGAAGTTCACCCCTAGACTGTCTGTACTCTATACCTATTGGGAGGACGACCGATTATATGACCATACGATTTTCAGGCTTAGCAGCCTGTGTTGGCAAGCCATCAGTTCTCATATGCCAACCCTTCCTTCCGGCATGCCTACCTCCCAAGCAATCGATGTGGCATGCAATCAACCGTAATCAACGGAAACGAGTGCAACTGTTGAACCATCCAGCATCAGCCTCGCACATGCGCTTGTGCACCTCTAAGTTTGTTCTGGCCTCACAGGGCAGGGTGCCGGGCGCGGCAATGCAAAAAGGAAAGTCTGCGTGCTTCTTGTCTAGTGAAAGATCCCTCCTGGTTCAGTCTCGTATCCAACTTCTTCAGGGTCATGGCTACGGTAAAGCTTGTCTTTGCTTTGCATTCGCCTTCCAGGCATTGCAGTCCCCTCGAACACAAGGCACAAAACACAGATTTGGCCTTTCAGATTTCGGATCTGCGAAGCGAAATATTCGCGATCAACTTCTTCGGGGAAATCAATGAACCTGGTCTCGACACTTCACGGTAGCACTGCAGCCAATGGGAGTGACCCATTGCAATTGTAGCCCGTCTGTGGCGAGTCAAGATTCGACCAAAGGTTCAAAATCTCGTTCTCTTCCAAGTTCACGATCTTGAGCTTTGTCCACCTTCGTACTCAGGCAATGCATTGGCACATGGCGAAGGTAATGACAGCATGCGTTTCAAACTTAACTAAACAAAGCAAGCACAAGACGAGGAAGCCAAATGAACAAAACTAATCAAAGCGAACCAGGACATTAAATCGTGTTTTCCCAAACGCGAGCGAGCAACAGGGACTCGCTTGTTCCAAGGGCCTGCTCGTAGTCCTTCGAATTATGCCATGCCGGCGATGTGGGCCATGCGAACTGTTGACACGTCTTGACAAGCCCAGAAAAAGGTTTGCTTCATCCCGCGGGTGTCCTTTCGCGAAAGGTATGCGCTTCCCTCCTTGGCGAGTTCGTCGAACAAAGTCCTCCAAGGCTGCACAAGACAAGCGAATTGGTTTGCGTGTGCCAGGACCTATAAGAAACGAACCCGTCAAAATGCCGGCGACTAGACTTTGGCAGTGTTGTGCCCTTCTGCCTGAGATCATTCAGTTCACCTTCGGTCGTCTCCCGTGCAATCGAAGCTTGGAGCTCTTCATCCTGCAAGTTGCAGGAATCGATTGAGTCAGCCTGAACGACCTATTGGTACTACGCCTGCTCTGCGCGGGCGAAGGCGTTGTTCACAATCACAGCAATGACAAGATTGTTCAACACCTGTCCGGAAGCCACCCGGGCTGTTCGCAGTGCATGATGGAGTACTGCAGGCTTTCCCAAGTCTGAGCAGCGATCCATGCAAGCCACCGCCACGTACAGCACCCAGAGTATCCCAATTTGTGGACTTGGAACGTGACGAGGCACCACAAGCATCAAGCTCAAGCTCTGTCTATCTCTGTCTCGTGTTTAAGGGCTTCGGCTGGCCAACTTGCAAAGGTCGGCTCAAAGAGGTCCAGCTATCCAGCGTCAGGCACTGCGAGAGGGGAGAGGCAGGCGCAAACGTGAGTGAATTCTTCTTCAACTAGCCGCTTCTCAGGTTTCCTGAAAGAGCGTGAACATGGCATCGGGGACCGTCGAGAAATGAACATCGATGACCTGCAAACATCGCAAGGTCTTGTAACAGGCAAGGTGAGGCTCGTGCTGCAAAGGCACGGCGCTTTGCACTTCTGGGGTGAACTCTAGGCCAGAGTGCAGCAGCAACTGAACGAAAAAGATCGAAAACCTCAGGGCGCTCCCACGGCCTCATCCCGACAAAATTTCCAGCAAGCCCCCGATCAGGCTTCGGCATGTACAGAACCACTGTAATAATCGTCAGTGTCCAGAGCAGAATACGACCGCTGTCGACAATGCCGCTGACCTGAAGTGACTAGAGCGAGCTGGAGCTTCCTGTTTGCAATGGCTTCCACTTGTACGGCCGAAACAGTCATTCAGGCTTCGACAAGCGACCAAAGAATTCGGAAATAGCTGATAGTGCGAACCTCAACTCCAGTGCGTCACAGCTGTGCCAATCCGATGTCACGCTTGCCAATTTGGATCAATTTGGGCTCGCGACGCTTTTCAAGATTCTGATGAGGCGGATACACCGCAAAGCCTGGCCAATCCGAAAAAGCGGACCTGAGCAGCACGTTACAACGACAGACCACAAGCTTGTTGTGGGCAAACTTTTTGTCTGATCTCAGCACAGCCACGTTCAGTTTAGTTTTAACGACAGGCGTGCAATGCCCCTGCGGCAGACCGCGCCGACTGTTTTTGTTGGATCCCTAGTTTGTCTGTCTTATTCTGTCTTCATCGTGTAGCCAAGTAGCCTAGGATCAAGACAGGAGTCGTCGACTCGTCGACCACTGAACAAGCTGGAACTGCTGCGTTAATCAAAGTTGGAGGACTGACTTGTGCCAGACGTGCTCGTTTAGGATTGTGGAGTAGTAGGCGGCTCTGACCAAAACCTCCGCACAACGTGGGCATAAGTGGGCGTCTATGTTCATGAAGTATTCATTCCTGTAGTTGCTCTACATGTTAGCAGGGCCACCACGTAGGACCTATACCCGGATTATGCTGACACTTTGTTGTAAGCGATGCCGCACTGTGAGAATCTACGGTACCTGCCTGAGCGCATGGGATCCTGCCACGACATCATGGAAGCCAGTCGGCCGTTTCCCATTGCATTCGTGACCGTGGTGTCGTTTAACCGGTGCCCAAGGAGACCCTTCCAATTCTGCAGGCCGAGTGAACCATCTGTTGGTGCCAGTGGCTGAGTGTAACGTGCCTTTTCAGGCGGAGCAGCGAAGATGAGAGGTCGTGGTCGGGAGGCGGCGTCGCCCTCGAAAGAGCATGCCGTGGCCACAGTGCTCAATCACATCAGCAAAGGTCGGGTCCAAGGCTTCGGCTGCTGCGAAGAGCATTAAGAAGATGAAGATGAGTGAGAAAGGAATTGAAGAGAAGAAAGGTATGAAAATAAAGAGGTTCAGCGGTCGGCACCGTCCAGACACAGGTAAGGCACAAAGTTCCTAAGAAAAGAAAAAGCAAACCCTAAAACACAGCCTAAAACCAACAGAGTGCGGCCAGCACAGAGCTGCCAGCGCGACTGCGAGCTACTGCCTACAAGCAACGGTCTGCAAGCGACTGCCTGCGAGCTACCGCCTACGAGCTACTGCCTGCTAGCGGCAGGGTTTTTTTCTTTCAGGGCTTTTTTTTTTGAAGATGAGAGGTAGGCACAGTCTTCTGTCCATGCCTCACCTCTGTGTTGCTGCCTCCTTGGATTCCATAAGAGCAGGGGTGACCAATAAACATCTTCCGTAACAATGTGTATCTGCACTAGACTTTGCTGGGACGAATGGGTTCCCACCCATCAGTGGCGGGGATCCATCCCTTTACATGAGTCTATGCTTGAGGCTGGGTGCTTTTCTGGGAGAACATCTACGGCGGACTGGCCTAAAACAAGCTTGAGGAAGAGCATGTGCGGCTAGTTCGTGCAACGAGTTCTCAGTCTCGCCACATACACAAGGCGGCTCAAGGGCTCCAGGGTCACAAGGACTGAGGGCTTGGGCTCATGCGAAGGTGTCCCCGACGAATCTCGCAGGAAAACAGTCACAAGCGAGAAAGGTGCAAGAACTCAAGAGTTAAGAGGTGGAACACCAGTAAATCCGTAGCCGCTACAGGCCTTGCAGCTCGCAAAGCTAAATGTGCTGTGGCCTTCATGGCTTTCTGCTCATGGGAGAGGCAGTCGAGACAGCAAGGGTCAAGTCTCGGGACGCTGGGCCAGTCGTTGTGACAGTCTGTTCTCCCCGCGTGGCATTGCGATGTCTAGTGAGTCTAGTCGTCAGTGAGTTGTCGACTGGGCAGGTCGGCCAGGGGCTACAACTCATGGCTCAAGCAAGGAGGTCTTTGTCCCAAGGCAAGGACCGGGAAATCCGTACATCGAGGACCGGACTCTGGAAGTCAAAGACAGGCCCCAGAATGTAGCTCGGGATGATTCCTGGCGCAGCTCTTCTGGGTATCGCTGCTGGTCTTGCCACGAGCGGCATGCACTCCTGTAACTGCGATCAGAACCTGGGCTGAGCAACTGATTCCTGACTGTGTGATCGAAAACCTATGAGGAAAGACAAATCTGAGAAAGGGTCCACGTCGCTGGCATTCCCTGCAGTGAAGAACCTGTCGGGAGACGGAGGCAGGACCACATGGTGCAAGGCAAGCAAATCGCTCGGGCCCAGTCCAAGTCCAACCGTCTGCTATGACACGCAGTATGATCTCTGCGATGAAACAGAACTTGGTGTCAGCAGGTGCAACACTCCTGCGCTCTGTGCTGCGCTTGGATGCGTCTGCAGCATGGACAGTGTAGAGGGGCGCGATTTTAGAAGCAGCTGTCACCGCTGCTTGAGACGTCATTGCTTGAGGTGAAACCGGGCGGATTTGCAGGTCACTAATTAAACAGCTCTTCGGCTCGTGCAGGCATGGAAGACGTGCCACTGCATCTTCCTGTTTGTTGCAGCTCACAGAGTCGACAGTCGAGCTCTGTGCAGCTAGAACCCCTGAATCCCTGCGAAGAACATACTTTCAAGCAGAATCAGCAGGAACATCAGACAAGGTAACTAGTGACAAGTGTCAACTAACGCAGAAGCAACACATCGGATGTACAAGCCCGAGCTCCTTGAGATACAAATTCAAGGTGCCTCGGTTGAGAGGCTGGAAAATCGTTGTGTCTCAGTGCGCCGCCACATACGGATGCCCTTCCTGCAAGACATAAGACACAAGAACAAAACAGACTGGAAAAGCAACTGCCTGAAAGGGGTGACGTACAACAAAGCAACGACAGATGTCCAAAAAAATGGTCAAATCATAATGCATCGCAAAGACCGTTGGTGTAAAGAAGCTCATGAAATCCAGCAAGACGGGTCCCTTACTGACCTCAGCATGGAGGCAGCATGGCATCGCATGTGCTGCGAACAACCCCCTGGCTGTCTGGGCAAACCAAGGACCGCACGTTGATCTCGCCCGAATCGACCGAGTCCTGGTCGTGCAAGGGTGGACTGCATTGCCACAGCAGTAGACTGAGGCATGCTGAGACCGTGGATCCTCCACATCAAGGTTACGGATTAGAACCCAACTCTCCCCAGATCCGAAAACAGTCGCTACTTGCTGCCGGCCTGAACGGAGTTGTTGCAGGGGGCATGTGCTTCAAAAAGTTTCCGGCACTCTGCTTGCAGCTCCACGATGGAGCCAATTCTGAGGGCATCATCGCTGGTGCATGAGAGCCGTACCACAGTGACCAAGTTCAGCAAAGGAGCTTCGCAGGGTCAGCCCAATCTTCGGGGGACGCCTAGAGAATGGAGTCGGCTGCATGAAGCATGTGTCGAAAGCTTCCTCGCCTGCTCGAGTTGCATGACATATTCGTAAAGCTTCGACTCCAAGGAGGGGGAGATGTCGAAGTTTGCGCTAAGGAGGAGCTCCTGACAGACGGCACGGTGAATCGCTGCATGGATTTCAATGAGCACCTCACTGACGAGGATGCACTTCCGTGGCTTCATCATGTTCCTTTCTGGAACAGTGCCAGCCGCTGCTCAGCTCTACGACTTTCTGCGTTGTGTGTGTGCGTGTGGTGGGGGGGGTGTTTCGCATGTTTCGTTTGCAGGTATGGGGCAGGAGCTCTCCCTGGGGGTCTCCTGCCAATGAAGATTCTTTCATATCGGCTACGAGGCTGTATATCCTTACCTTTCAAAGTACATTGTCGGACAACGAACAGTCAAGTCAGAGGGAGGATTGCACAAGTATGTGGATAGACAGTTCGGCCGTGTATGGTAGGAGTGAGTACTGTATTGAACCCTGAACGGTTCCATAACAAATCAACCCTGATCGGCTCCATTGACATTCACCCCGCCCGGCAGCGCATGCAATCCATTATGTCAAGATCCTTGTCGATAGACTTCAGGCTGGCTCTTCTTTTTGAGTCGCTCCGCTGTAGGGCCTCGCAAATGTTCAGCCTTGAGATTCGCTTGGCCCGAACCACTTGCGGTCGGCAAGCACTGGGACTGCAGCAGCTTGGTACGACCTGCGAGCGGCAGCCTGCAAGACCTGTGAACCGCCACAACAATCAGCCACCCGTTTTCCGTTTGTGCACAGCAATCTTTTCAGTGTCACCTCTTTTCAATGTCGCTTTTTGTTTGTCTTTTTGCTTCTACTTTCGCGACTGGCCTTGTGCAAGCCCTAGGCAACCTCCAGCTGCAGCTCTTATACGTTATTATCTTTTAAGGCTTCAGAGCCATCGTCCACAGCTAGTGGCCACATATTCGGAGCTTGTCAACCGATTTCTGCACGTTTACCGCCTGCGGTGTAACTTTACATCTGAGAGCAGATTTTAGGACAACGAACAGTCAAGTCAGAGGGAGGATTGCACAAGTGTGTCTGCCCATGCGCGTGCACGCATGTTTTCGCACTGTTTGCAGAGGGTCTTTCGGCCCAGGGAAAACGAAGCACCACTCAAACAACCCAAAGGCACGCTTCGCTATCCCGACAGCACACGACAAACGGGAGCAATTACTTTCTTGTCACTGCAGTTCGAGTTCGAGGCATACCTGAATCCTTTTTGCATCTGGTCTCCACGTATCCTAGCCTGCAGCCTGAATCCCGAACCCCAAATCCTGCCAGGTCCCAGATGCCCAACAGAGAGCCGATACAGTTTACCGCAACTCATCAATATTCCTTAAACATCCTTACGCTGTAGAGAGCTCAGCCTTGCACCAGACCACAACCACAGCCTGAGCACTCCCCTGCACCGACTGACAGCTCATAAGGCGTCTGTCCTTGTTTAAGTAATCCGGGTTCAGCAGTCTTTCAAGATTTGGATCGCAATGAAGCGTCGACATCCAGAAAAGGACCCGACCCGGTATACGTTTCATGTCAACTTCTCCCAGGGGAAGATCTGATGCCCATGGAAAGAAGTTGTAAGCGAAGTCCACGTGACCACCTCCGCGAAGATCCATGTCTGTCAACACCTGTAGGCACCCAGGGCACAACCCCCAGACTTGTTTCCAACTGCGACAGCTGACACGGAGTCCCTGTTGTCTGAGCACGTTGCCCCACCGCGAAGTTCGTCTTGAAAAACGTTCCGGGGCACCGCAAACATCGGGCAGCAAGTGAGCGGCAAGCATTCCATGCCCTCTCTGCAGTCCATGAAGCGTACAGCAACCACCACCTGGAGGAGCAGGTAAGTTGCACCTCGGATGAATGGGGAAAAAAAGACCGCCAATGCTACGAGCTGTGCTGGACGTTGCTCTCGACTGCTCGCTAGGCCGCTCATGATCCAACGGCAGGGTTCTTCGAGAAAGCCTTGCGCAAGGACTGCGGTCCATGTCTCGTTGGAAAGCATCTCCTGGCCGCCAGGCTCACTCTCACCAGCCCCCTTTGCGTAATGCGGCTCGCACATGCACCCTGCCTGGCCATGCCACATGGATTGTAAGTCCGGCAGGAAAACCCAGAAAACCGGACACCAGAATGGCTTGAAGTCCAGGCCCTGCCCATCTGAGAAGCAGGGCTCGGTGAACTCGAGATCTGCAACACTACGGCACCCGCCTGCAAAACATCGACGCCAAGATGAAATGAAAAAGCCACTGCACCTGCAAGAACCTCAAAATCCCGGCAGACAAGCGGTAGACTGCAGGCACCGCAGCAGCAGAGTAAGTTGCTGGCAGATCCTGTTCGACCGCCAAGCAGGACAAGAGGCAGCCACCCAAACTCAAAAATCAGGGCGGACCTCATACAACCGGATGTGACTAAATGTGACACGGCTCAGCGCCTAAGCCACCGACACTGCCATAGATGTGCACAACCACCAGCGTTGAAGCAGCATGAGCTGCAACTTCTGCACCAGACCCCAGGAGTGTGGCCGGCTCCACATCGCATCCAGAATGTATGCTTGCATTGTGCTGCCGAGCCAAGGGCGTCGAAAAACGCACGGCACCACGACTTTTGATACGGCACCAGCAAAGTAGACTACTCCCAGGAACAGTTTGATGAAGACCTGAACATAAGCTTCAACCTTGCTGTGCCTTCGGATGCCTCGGAACGGCATTGAGCTTAATGACTGGAAGCCAAGATACAAGGCTCCATGGGGTTCCCTTCGGACCCCCACTCAGGGCCAGGAGCAGAAGAACCGAAGGCAACAACAAGGCTCCATGACCGCCATGCTTGGACCTGCAAGCGAGGACTTTCACACACATCTAGCAAGTCTAGTACCCATCCATCTCGCAACGCGGACTGCTCAGGACGTCACTCGCAGAACAACTGGCCGAAGTACAGGAAGTAAAGACCGAAGCCAGCGAACAAAAAGAATCTCGGAGCCAACTGAGAGTGGCAAGCCAGAAGAAGAGACACCACCTCAGTTTGTCCAGGCTACCCAGGCCAATCTTCGACATGGATGAAATCGCTTTGTGGCAGTGCTGAGTGGCGGGCCAGCAGCCAGCCAACCATCTGGAAGTGACTTTCTGGCAGCTGCGGGATTGGTATGAGGCCGTAGGCCTTGCAGGCCGTGTATCCAAGACCTCTTCGGCTGTTGTGCGTCAAGTTTGCCCGCGTTGTCAATCCTGAGCTTCCAATGCCTCTAGACCTGCGCTTCTTGTCCACAGCTGCACGGGGTTGCGATATGTCACATCATCACAGCGAATTCGCATCACGCCTTGTCACGCAGCACAGCGTGAAGTCCCTCTGCGTGAACGTGGCCGCGGCCATAGACATACACACGGTCTGGTTCTACGAAGTTATGTCGGCTATGCCTCAACACTGACTCAAAACGCCTCAACACTTGGCTAGTTCAGCAGGAAAACACCATGGACGCACGCTTCAAACTGTCACGATAACACTGACTTCGATTTGCCTTCGGCGCCTGCAGGACTCGTTAGGTGCCCTAACGGCATGGGGACACGATGGGGCTCTCGCGCTAGCGCGCTGGGCTAGGGCTAGGCGCTCACTTCAGGCGCACCTGGCGTTGCCGAGGCTCCCGCAGTGGCGGCGATGTGCATTTTCAAGCAAAATCGCGTTCGTTCCGTGCGCATTTTGTCGGGCACACGGTCTTCCCACAATACGTGTTCCTGCCACTGCGCCTTGCATGTCCGTTCTCGCGCTTCCAGTACTACAAACTGTCTCGCACACGTTTTGCACTGGGACTCGTGCTCAGAGCGCTGTGCACGTGTTGGCGGCGACTGTGGGGCAGATTTTGGGCTCTTGCGAGTGGTCCGACGAGGAGCCTGATGAGTGCTCTCGCGAGTCGTTCTTGCTGTCACACAAAGCGATACAACTTGAAGTAAACCGGCTCAAAAGGCAAACACACAAACACTTTGAACCAAGTCAGGGCACGGTAGAAGCGAACGGCTGCTGGGTGATTCACGATCAGGCCAGCAGCGACACTGACGCAAAATAGTGTAATGAAGAGCCGAACCTGCAAGCAGCAAGTGGCACGCGGCACTACATTAGCGTTGGTCACATGCTCCCGACACTTCCCGGCAGGCCTGCTCGGGAGGTTCACACAGAAAGAACGGCTGCAAGATCTCCTGTGAATCTGTGCACCTCGTGGCAAGCTTCACATAGCTTCACATCTCGCAACGCCTGTACAGGCTTTGCAGAAACCCAGTGTGTAAGGCGCACGCACTGCATCTGATGTGAAAAGGGCTTCCTCTGGCCGTCTGTAGGTGATCACATTTCTCAGGCTGAAGCCTTTCCACACACAGCAAACTCAATACATCTCAATACCCAATGTGTCGAAACAGCATGGCAAGTGCTGCTCTCCGACAGCAAGAAGATGACTCCAGGCCTACACTCATGCTGGCCATGCAGCTCCACAGACTGATCTACCATCAGTCTGGGCGTTGAGCCAGTAACACATCACGTCACAGTCACATGTACGTTCTTCCATGTGCAAACTATTTAAATTTTTGCGCACCAGGTGGGGGAACGGCGTGGGCGGCGAGACAAACTCGAATGGATCGGGCTGCTTGGGTCCCGGCGTTGAAAAATTCCTCGAACAGCCCGTATATTTCCAGCTCATCTGCGATGCACCCACAATCGCCCATAATCACACACAATGCAAGGTAACAGCAAATATGACTGCTGGCTTCCGGATCTGCCTGCCGTTCCCTGCACCTAAGGCGTCAGGAAGTCACACGCTAACCGCGAACCTGTGAGATCCAGCCTACTTGCAGCATGTGTGCCTAGGCCGCAGACAGAGATTTGGACGCCGGTAAGGAGACCGTTCAAAGCAACTAAGAAGAATGTCACCAGCTCGAAGGTCCTGCGCCGAACACCAACTTCCAGCTGCTTCGTGGACTCGGCACTACGGCAGCCAGTCATGCCGGACTTCACCATGCCGGAAATCACGGGGCACCTCAGCAAATCATGATGAATGCGCATGACCCTCGACAAGTTCTTGCTTGTGGCATCACGCACTGCGCCCAAGCCAGCTGCTTATGTACAAAGTCTGGGTGGGCCCGTCGACGTTTCTCGCGGGAGATGCGGTCTTGCAGTCTGTCGATCCTGTGCTGCCAAGTGTGATCTTTCCGGGTCACACGAATAAAGACCATAGCCATAGCACAAAAGAATACCTGAATGCCAAGATAGGCCCACCTGAAAAATTTGCGCATCCATTCAAAGAGCCTGACAACGTGCCAAGCAGAAGTGGTTGATGGGAGGAACGAACACGATGCAACATCCAAACTCTGAACCGACCAAGTGGCCAAAATCTGCGTTTGCCTTTTAAGGCTTCTTCGATCATTTGCTCATTCGTCATCTGATCGGCGCCTGCCATGACCTGTCGGCTCTACTAAGAAACTCCCCCTCGAGCACGAATCATGGCAACCAACTTGCACTCGGTCAGACATGTTGAGCTACCAACTGCGCTGGAGATTTTGGGTCTGTCGGGCTCAGCCTGCAGCAAACGAAGCAGCTCAAGCAGCAAAGGCGAAGTATGGGTACTTGGGTGCTGGCATCTTGCTGATGCATCTTTGCTCTGGTCCGCAGTTTGCGAGCTTCATCATTCGTGATGGCACCCCTGTCCAGCAACTCCTGGCCATGGATTGCCAATGATGCGGAACGACCAAGGCATTGCAACTCAACAGCCAATTTCCAGTCCTGAATATGTTCTTCGCTTTCTTCAAATTTCTGGTATGCTTCTTCCACCTGCAACGTTAGCAACTCGCAGACTGGCTTCTGTTGGAATCTGTCGTCACACCTCCCGCGCTTCCATTCGCTCCTTGGCACAAACAACTTCGGACACCATCACCTGCCAGCAGCAGCTGCAGCAAAACGGCTCAATCTTGACTTGGACTTGCCACTGCGCGGAACCACACGCCTCGATGGTGCCCTGTGCCAAATCCCTGGAAGCTTCCGCCATGCTTGCAAGGCTGCTCCAGGCAAACCAAATGGAAGCGTTCCGTCGCACCGGTTTTATGAAGCCTGTTGCCACGACCTATTCAGCCTGTTCCTTGGCTTTATAACATACGTGGCGCAAGATCGCCACACTCTTCCGTCGTGAGGGGCACTTATGTATCCTATGCGACTGCAAGAATAGAACTCGAACCGAGGATCGGCAGTTGCTCCAAGCTGATCCAAGAACTCACATTGCAAACATCAGCGTGCAATCATGCCATGCTGTGAAGCTCGAGGAAACAACTCCATTTTCACGTTGTTTGGCATGCGGCATGCTTGCTTCATTTTTTTCCGCTCATCTTTTGTCCACAAGCGTGTCCGCGGCGAATGTACCTGTGCAACCGCGGATTACTGAGCAGCGCCTGCGCGACCAATTTCGGACCCCAACACCACCGGTGTGTGCGGGCCGTGTGCGGGCCGCGGGCATCGAGCTCCCCGTTTTGGGCGTTTTGTGGCCTGCAACTTTTCTTTCTCGCCTCCATTTTCCGACTGTCCGTTCCAGCGGTTCCAATGCGGCAACGCCCTACAGTTGCCGGCAGCAGGCTCGCCAAGCCGGCATTCAGAGGTCGAACATCCTGCAAGCCCCTTCGCACAGCACGGCCCGGCATGCGCCTAAGCTCTGGCGCTTCATGCCAGCGCACGTCAGCCAAAATCAAAAAGCGCGTGCAAAGCGTTTTTTTGTGTTGCACGACTCCTTTGTTCCGTCTGCATCAAGGTCGCGAGAGTGAGCCTACAGACTCCAGCGGTCGTTACGGCGGCGCCGTAAGGAGCTCCAGCGGCGGTTGAAGCCTTTCACTGGCATGGCCGCGCCGGCAGCTGGACCGCCGCGGAGCGCTGGGCCGCGGGGAGCGCAGTGCTGCGACGCCATGGCGAGCGCCGCAATGACGCAACGTAGCCGGAAGTCACGCAGGCCGGGCCGCAGACGCTCGTCATGCTCGGTTCGGAATGCCCAGGCCCGCCACTTCGGGCGAGACTTGGTGCTCTTCAAGCGGCCATACGGGATGAGCTTCCCACCCGGCCAGTGCGGTAGGGTCAAGACGTCGAGCAAGGGCACGAAGAGCTAGCTGTGTGTTTGTTGCATGGCTGGTGTGTCAGGGTCAGCAGGCGGGGCTGCGGTTGCGGCAGCAGGCACTTCGGGTAGTGGAAGTCGCTGGGCAAGGCGTGGCACCACTTGTGGAGCCTCGGCAACAAACCCAGCCTCGGCTGTACTCGCGCAAACCGACTGAAAGCCTTCGGGGCCCCGACCCACCCGCGCCGGCACCCGAGTAGGTCAGCATGCGCTGCCATGCCACGGTCGACGAAATCCATCCTTTTTGCAAGTTGTCCCGGAGCCCCCTGAGCGCCCTGTTCTTGCCAAGCTGGAACGGCTATGGGGCCCGACACGTCAGGCAATGCGGATCTCTGACATTTCTCAAAGAGTCCTATATGTGTGCATGGGCAACACTTGCATTCCTCCAAGCAGCCCTTCGGACAATGTGTACCCTGGGAACTGTGTGTCCCCTGGGCACAATTCAAAAAATGACGTGTTTGTACGTTCGGGCGCTGTACCGAATCCTTTTTCCGGTTTCGGGCTTCAGTCTCGGAGTGTTGTACGCCCTTCTTGGGCAGACATGGCACCTTTCCGATGCCAGATGACTCCACCGGGAGGGAAGGCGGGCCATCAAAACTGCGCCACCACATAAAAACATGACTGTGCATGTTTGCGCGCTCGGGCGCTCTGCCGAATCCTTTTCCGCCTTCGGGCTGCAGTCTCGGAGTGTCCTACGCCCAGCTTGGGCAGACATGGCACCTTTGCGATGCCAGACCCGGCCAACACCCTCGAAGCCCTCAAGGCGTCGCACTATGTGCGCTAGGCGGAAAGGAAACCAGGTAGGGAAGAAAGCTAGCTGCGGTTTTGACATTCTTTAGCACAGCTTTGGGAAGCGCGGGCAGAACAGAGGCTGCCGATATTTCCTGCAGATAATAGGCTAGCGTGGTCTGGTGTTGTAAGCGCATCTGCCAAAGCAGATTCGAAAGAGAGACACCGCTGTGATGGGCGGTGCCAGCGCCTCCACCGCACAGAGAGCCAGGTGTGAGGCTGAAGGTGTCTGCAATGCCGAAAGCTTCAAGAAGTCTGTCCCAGCGTCGTCGATAGACACCAGCGCTCCCTGGGTAAAGAAAAGCAGTGCGGGGCAGCTTCTGAACCGTAGCTATGACAAAGGCACGGACGCGTGTGTCGAACGCAGCTGAAGCGTGCTGTACTGTATGCCAGCACCTCTGCGACGGGTCTTCGGATTCTTGATCTGCAAGTATTTTCTTAGTACAATTTTAGCCTCGCGCTCACCAGGTCGCCAGGCGTGAGAAGATTCAAGAGCCGCGGCACCGCATGGTCACGCTGCACAATGTCAAGTTGCGGCAGAGGCCCAGAAATCATTGCACCGAATTTGTGTATCTAGGGAAACGCTGCATTGCAAGCCTGAGCGGGCGAAGCCAACAGAAATCAAGCCCACGCCCTGGCAAACTCCAAGATTCGCGTAGATCATAACATGCGAGAACATTGGAATCCCCATTGACACGCGCCCTTCAGAAGCAGGAGCACGGAGGGTTTCAAGAAGGGTTTTCGACAGTGCAGCACTAGCAGTTGCATCCACTAGACAAAAACACATGGTAACCAAGCTATTCCCCATGTAGACGCTCGGTTTGAGGTGCTGGCGACACACATCGGTCGAATCATAACACATCATTGCCAGCCCGCCGTAGTCTGCAGGTGGCAGCGGGACCTGGACCCTCTGAGACTTGCAGTCGCAGAAAGGAGCGGAACAAAAAATCTTTTTGTGCAGGTGCTTACGAAATGGAGCGTGTACGTGAAGAATGGCTGCTTGTCATGTGCTGTTTGCTGCGATGCCACTGCTGTGTTTCCGGGTTTGCAACGGGAGGCGCCGCTTACGCACTGCTTACGCGTACCTTTCGCGCAGCTAGCGCGAATTGCACCACTCACCACACATTTTTTGACCTCGGCCAAGCTCTCGACCCGGCAATCTCCTTGCGTGGACGATGCTTCCGATCCCTACAGCGTCTAGAGCAGGTGCTTCTGAAATGGACCCCTAAGACAGCTGTGTTCCAACAAGACGTGACATGTACTCAGCTCTGCGGTTGTACATGTCGGCAAGCGCGTGCGCCTGGTGATTGGATGCCAAACTGGCAGACTTTTGAAGGCTCCGGGGCATAATTCGTGCGCGCGAGTCCCCTGCGCGGCTACGCCCGGCCGTGCAGCGTGCATCCTTGCATCGTTGGACAGGCATGCTGGCTGTGGCGGCGCAACGCGCGCTAGCTTACTCGCTCCTTGAGTTGCCCTTNNGACGGCACGGAGCCACCCCTCGGTGACCTGCTCGCTGATGCTCGTGACACCGAGCCAGTGCCCGCGAGCCGTCTTCCGGCTCCGTGCTAGTCCACCCGTCCCCCCGCCACGTGGTCCACGCCCCGCTAGCGGGCGACGTGCTTACGCCGTAGCCGTAGGTTACCGGTAGCTAGCTGTCTGTAGCCCTAGCCTCGTGAGCTCAGGCACCCTAGGCAGCCGTCAAAAACCTCGAGAGGAAAAAAAAGCGTGCGCGTGGCACTCGAAATCCTAAGTTGGCGTCTGTGCCTGGAATGTGCGAGGAAGCGCCTGCAGGGACGTGGGGAGAGCGACGTGCAGCTATGCCTGTGGTGTAACGTCACACGCCCGGGCGTAACTCCACGCGTTCCCATGCGACCGTGCGGTGTCGCGACTTGACGCACCCTGGGCGACATAAAGCTACCCCTTGTAGCTCGCTCTAAGCCCGGGGCAGGTAGGCGGCTGGGTTGAAGAGCCTCCTGCCAGCGAGCGTCGGCCAGGAGCTCGTGCATGCCAGCAACACCGAGCTCCGATCGGAGGGGAAGTTCGAGGAAGGTGGCAGCGAGAGCGCGCTCCGCCACGACGGAGATGAGGCCACTCCAGCGCAGCACCCACGCTGCCTGGGCCGAGCTGCGGACAGCTGCTGGCACGCTGGCGGCACGCGCACGGACAAGGACGCGGAGGAAAGTGGCGGCTTCCTCAGCCCAGCGCCCGCCGACTTCGAGCCCAAAAACAACGAGGCGGCAGCGACGACAACGGTCAAGCTCAAGGTACTATTGCAATCGACCTGACTGCGCCGTGCATCATGGACGCACGTCGAAGCTCATCGCGGAGAGCGCAACGTTGCGGCCGACACGCGCCCCGGCCTCCGGGCAGACACGAGCGATGGCGCGTTCGAGGGCTGGGGCTCGGGAGGCGAGCACGCCGGAATACGTCGGATGTGCAGCAGCCACCTCGGTGGTCTCCACACGCATCAAGTGCGCCCTTGCCGGGGCAGCTGCGCAGGCCGAGAGGAAAGGGTAGGCGCCGCAGGAGCAAAAGACACGGAAGTGCGAAGCGGGAACGACAACATCCCTCGACGTCGGCAGGACCGTAAGTGCTCGGGCAGAGTGCGGTCCAGCTTGCGAGAGCAACGGGGCGCGAGACGCACGGGACAAGTCAGCAAGGTGCGTCTCGAGCGCGCGCTCGTCGCAAGCATGGGAGGCTCTGCGTTGCCAGCCGCGGAGGAAGTCTCCAGGCTCATGTGTTGGGAAGGGGTGGGCATGGCCTCGTTCCAGTCCGGAACTGTGTAGCCCTGTGTGGTTAGGTAGGCCGCCGCCTGGGCGGCTGCAAAGAGTGAGGGCGTGCGTGCGTAGAGCGGTGAGCAAGCGTCCCGCAGCCGAGGGCACGCGCGCGTGGAGGGCCGGCAGGGTGTCTGCGAAAGGACACACCACACACCATCTGCGCCAGGGCTAAGTAGTGTGACGACAGGCATTAGTTGGGTTTTGCACGTCGGTAGACCACTGGCTCCCGAAGATTATACCTCGAAATCCCCATGTGTTTGCCGGTACGAGACGACGTCTAGCGAATTGCCTCATGAGCGATTGCACTGTATCTCCATGCAACGGTTGATG